GCAATAAAAAACTTGCAATAAATAAATTAAAAAACTTTATTTAATGTTTCTAAAATACAAACAAACACAGTCAGTGTGCGCAAAAAATGAGCATACGATAGATTATACCCAGAACTCGTTTTCAGATAGTTGGAATCAAGTATCACAGATATAGGCACTCGACGTTCATTCCGGTTGTTTTTTTTTATTATTGTACAATAACATCTATACTTTAGCAATGATTTTCACTATAACATAGGAACACAGGTTATTTCATATTAGGAATACCCTGGTATCTCATATTAAGCAATTCAACATATCCCATTCTATAATTAGTACGACCTTACTCTATCACTACATGAAGAATTTATTGCCAAATATTTATTTATTAAATAATAAACAAGGTTTAAATGCTCATCTCAATGAAACTTGAAGACATCCAAATTCTAAAATCTTGTTTTACAATAACTACAGACATGATCTAATAATGAATTTTCTACTAAATAGTTTTTAATCCAAGAGCAATAAATTTATGGTGGAACCAACAGATAGCGTTTATTAAGTTTAGCAGAAATACCGCTATCTCATATTAGGCGTCTATCTCATAATACAAGGCATTCCTCTATAATTTAGAAAAATATAAGTAAATATGCAGATTAGGGGAGCCCCCCCTCCTACATATACAATAATATGAGTATAAAATTAATTATGACATTGATGTTATTAATGTTATTATGTTGCTTTTAGTTGACGTACAGGATAATTAAATTTAGAATTATAATTGTAGCCTAGAATTGTATAATTACAGAAATTTTTCTGTAAACAATTCTGCCTATAAAATTATTCCCAATTTAATCGAACTACTCAGCAGACGCAGATTCGAACAGTTTGAACCGTTCGATCTATCAGACCTGATTTCACATTGAAGTCGAGCTCTGCGCTCGCGATTAATTGGATTAATACGAACATTTTCGCTTGAATTCACCTAAATGCCCGAGGTGTTGGATAGTCCCGATAGAACGGTGCTCGCAACTCAAACGTTTTCAGTTCGATCGCACAATTCAAATCTAAACGCCGATGTTGCCGATGCGGAACACTACCGTGCCGCCTCGGTCGCGCAGAAATAGGCCGGGCGTTTTTCTCACACCACACCACGTCGATACGCATGCGCATAGTCCGTGGGTCGCGGACTCTTTCTCTCCCTGCTCTTTCCTGATCTCTCTGTCTCGTCTCCTGCAACTGCTCGCAACGTTGCACGACGTATCTGTGAAAGAGTTGCGTCTCTCGTGTCTATCAGGACTGTAAGTATATCATCGCCGGGGAATTTAATCCCCACAATAAAAAATTCATCTTCGGGAGCCTCGAGATTCACAAAACAGTCCGAGTAGGGTGTCAAGCGCAAGAGGGAAGCTAGTCGAGAAACAGGTTCTCGGTCTCGTTTCGGGAAACCGGCATGAAATCGCGATCACAATGTCGTCTGCCGTGGCTCGTGTGGCGCATTTTTCGGCCAAACGTCAAACGGGATTGGATTTTTCGAGAGGACTCGCGTTATCGGACGAGTAGAGGCTGGTTTTTTGACGTGCGGCGACGTGTAGAGCGACTTCTAAGTTAGAATCCTGAACGATCGCGGCATATCGGTTGGTCGAGCTTATGTAATACTTGCGAGACAGGTCAATACTATTCCATTCGTACATGCATTGCGGCTCGTACCTCGTGATATCGTATCACCGTGGATTTGTTTGCGTTTAGACTCTGTGATAGTGACTTTTTTTTTATGATTTAGAAAGAGCCTTCCCTTTCTCCAGACCTGTAATCGTGGCATGTTTCAATTCTCCCATATGTAAATATTTTGCTTCATTCCTTGAATGGAATAGTACATATATATGTAAACCATATAGAGCAGAGTACATTGTTGGCATATGTATCTCAGATTAAATTTAGCCTGCTGTTTTATTATGGTTGTCTATATCGAGCTTTCTGTCCTTTTTTAATCAGTTCTAGGGGCCAGATCTATTTATCAGTAGGAACAATAGCTAGTCATTAAACAGATATTTTTATGGCATTGCAGAACATGGCTCCTCCGACGTACAACGACCTAGGAAAGAATGCCCGTGATGTATTTGGTCAAGGCTATCATTTTGGTCTGTTTAAACTGGATGTGAAGACTAAGACTAATTCTGATGTAGAGTTCTGTTGTGGCGGTGTGTCCAATCAGGACACTGGAAAGGTGTTTGGTAACTTGGAAACTAAATATAAGTTCAAGGAATATGGATTAACGTTTAGTGAAAAATGGAATACTGACAATACCCTTGGGACTGAAGTCACCCTTGCCAATAAGTTACTCAATGGTCTCACAGTTGGCTATAGCTGTACTTTCTCCCCACAAACCGGGTAAGATAATTTTGCAAGTATCAAAAATTTAAGTGATACTATGATTTGTAATAATATTTGGATCTTTCATTTTTCTTCTGATATTTGCAGTTCCAAAACTGGAAAACTGAAGACTACTTACAAACATGAAAATGTATCTGCGACTGCTGACTTTGATCTTAGTTTGTCTGCTGGACCTTTAATTTATGCCTCGGCTGTCGTAGGTTATCAAGGTAAATTTTAATATCAGATATGTCCCTTAACAACATTAAAGTTTGACAATATTAATTAATCTTATTCTTTGACATAAAATTGTTGAAAAAAGAAACTTTTAGATATTTAATCTTCTATGTGCCTGTTCCTTTGTCCCAAACACATATTTCCTTGTTTTGAACAAATGGAATGTTTTATGAATAAAAAAGTAAGCCTGTCATTTGATGGATGTTAATTGTGTTATCTGAAAGTGTTTAAATCGATATATTGCTGTATTTTGCAGGATGGTTGGGTGGTTATCAGGCATCCTTTGACTCACAAAGAAACAAACTCACAAGGAATAATTTTGCTCTTGGATTTACTGCTTCTGATTTTACTCTTCATAGCGCTGTGTAAGTATATAATAACAAAAATGTGATACTGTAAGACATTTATCGATTTTTATTAACATTTAAACATGATATTTAATATATTTTAGGGATAATGGTCGTGAGTTTAATAGCTCCATTTATCACAAAATAAAACCAGATTTGGAAGGAGCAATCAATTTGGCATACAATTCCACTAATAATGTAACACAATTTGGTATTGGCGCAAAGTATAATCTTGATAACGATGCTAGCCTTAGAGCCAAAGTGAATTCTAATCTTCAAATAGGTTTGGGATATCAACAGAAATTGCGGAATGGTGAGTAATAATTTCTTCTTCAAGTGCCATGTACGTTATTTCAACGCGTAGGCGCCTCCCTCTCATATACCTATGCGCGCACTCTGATCGTACAACAAGGTATATGGGGACCTACAGTTTAAACGCCGATTTCGAACGGCAATTTTTGGTAGGGAGGTTTCCTGGGCAAGTATACTACTCGGTGGTTTGCCATTGTCTTCCGAGAGGAGCTACAAGTGTATGAAAATTTTTCGGTTCTGCCGGGGATCGAACTCGGGATCTCTAGTATATCAGACCAGTGCACTGTCTGCTACACCACACTCGCGCTCACTATAGTAATCATTTAAAAAATATTTTTGTTTAAAAGGTTATTAGAAAAAGATATTATAAAATCTTCATAAGTGCAAAATGCAACGTGAATCCGTTATAAATAATTTTATTTATAAATTCGAAAATTTTTAACATGTTACAATATATAAATATAATGAGAAAAAGTATGTTTTTCGTTCGCGATATTAACAAAATATCTATCTATTAATAATTTGTACTCTGAGAGTCACACTAAATAGAGAATAAGCCTTTGGCAGAGTGACAACTTTACAATTGCTATAATAATTTTTGCAATATACAGTTATGAAGTTAAATAAGGACTCTCGACAATTATTAAGTCTGTTAAGTTAATAAATCTTTCCACAAAAGCACATACATTATTATTCATATGTTAATAAACGTCACTAAATAACTGAATATTTACAGGTGTAACTTTGACGCTTTCTACAAACATTGATGGGAAGAACTTCGGCTCTGGTGGCCACAAATATGGCGTTGCATTAGATCTTCAGGCTTAAATACGTATCTTATAAAGTAATGCTTATTACTTAAAAAAAAAAGCAAAAAACTATCCCATAATAAATATTTTATGACCTTCGTGTCATAAAAAACCGGCGTGACAGTACATGCTTAAAATAAAGTATTATCTATAATATGTAGATAGGTTGATCCTTGAATAGATTCCACAAAATATCATCATTTGAGATTAGTTGACAAGCACATTAGTTTATATTATACACAATTATGACCATGAATCAGCAACACTTCTTATAAACAATATGAAATCGCAATTACACATACAAGTTTGTACTGTTAGTCGTATGGAGTTCTACACGCAATTTTTTTGTTAGTTCCTGTTAATTAAAATCCTTTTTATCAAAATCGAAAGTTACATTGAAGTACATACATTATTCTATATAATGTAAAGTGGAGAAAGAGAGAAAAGGCAATAGTAAAAGCGACATAAAAATATAATAATAGATAAAAAGAAGATATTTGTGACATGAACAATTTTCTTTGCTTGCTTTGCACACAATAAATATATTAAGAATATTTTTATATTATATTTTATATTTGTGCGATTATCACATTTATATGTGAAAAATATAATTTTCAAACAATGTAAAATATTTTTATGAAATGTTATTTTAATCAGATATCTAACTTTGTAAATCACTAATCTTATCTCTTGCTGGATAGGACCAGATTAGAATGTATGACGTGCATATTTTACGCAAATATTAGTAATGATGTGATTGATTGATAGTAAATGTATGCAATTTTTTGGTTTGGTATTGTCATGTACTCTAATATAAAAATTTGATGCCTTCTCTAATTCATATAAATAATGCAATTATGCATTACTTGTATAGATTATAATTAGAAAATGTTCATGCCATTCTCTTGTTGTAAGGAATATCTAATCCTTGTTAAGAAATACTGCCAGTTTGGCTGAATTATGATGTCCTCAGATATTAACCAAAGTATACTCCTTTACAAAACTTTCATTTGTAGTCGTGTATAAATATTAGATAATAATCATATTTTCAAAAGACGTATAAGTACCGCATATATGTACTGCATATATAATTCCACTGCTTTATTTTATATAGAAAATAATTGTTTGTGAGATAAAAACGGCTTTTACTCTCTTTGATAATTATTACCAATTATGTATGGGTTCAGTAAAGAATGTTTTACGAAGTACGAATGTGATTTATTTACAAGAAGAACTTACATTGTTTTTTTTTTTCATCTACAATGATTTTATCTAAATCGACTGCAAATAAACAACCCTTTAACATTTCCTTTGAGTAAATTTGTATTGTGTGTGATGAAATTATATTAATTTTTTAGTTTTTTAGTTACATTTTTTAATTACAAAAAATTGGTAAAATTTTACAGCATTAAGGATGTAATATACATTTAACATATTTCAAACACACAATTCTAAAAACAAGATGGATATACTTTTGAAACGAAAGGTCTTATTTAAAAATCAAATTTAATTAATGATGTGCCTCAGACGATATTAGTGTTTCAACAATGAGCTATATAAATATTTACTATTTTGGCTGGCTGTGTATCGTGTACATATTGTAAATGATTCCCGTATTCCTCATTTGACATTTGTGTTAAACAAAATCTATATTAATGCACCATCTGATCGTCCATTGCTTTTGCAATCCATTCTGGCTCTGTTTGAGCTATTTTCTCGATTATTTGATTCACTTGATAACATAGCGATTGTATTTGTTTGTCCCATGTCGGTAAGGTCTCACGTGCTGTATGGGAAAAGAGACATTAAATTCTAATTCTGTATAAAGAGCAATACATACATTAAAGTTCAAGAATTTAAAGCAACTTACTTTCAAAGTGTACTATGGAATCAATTTGATCTATATATCCATTCATTCTGCCTTCAGTAATCATTTGGCTAGCAATTTTTTCCGCTTTAGTAGGTGGAATATCCAACAATGCACCTAATTCTTCGAAGGAAATGTTGTTGTATAATTTACTAGCGGATAATAAATTATGCTCGATAACAGCACGGTCGAGTATAGTGGAGCCTAATCCGTCGATAGTACATGCCTTCTGGTGAGGTTGCAATAATGCTTCAAATTCCTGCAGCTCGGAGCGCCGAATGATACGATCCAAATACATTTTCTCAAGAATCGAGTAAGCGGGAAGTTGTTGGCAGCGTTCATCTTTGAACAATGTGGCCAACATCCGACTTCTCTGTTGTCCTGTAAAAAGATCAATGTGAACAGTCCAAAAAATAAAACATATGCAATGTTGATTAATCACTTGCCTGCAGAAGCCAATACTGTGCAAATTAATGCATTTCTAAGAGCAGTCATGCGTTCATCTTCGTGAATAATGGACCTATATGATAACTCATTGTACCTCTGAGCTGCTTCTATAAACTTTCTTCTATAATCTAATACTCTTGCATAGCATACTTTGTAATAGATTTGTAACTGTTCATTTTTAGATTCGGCCTACAGAATGATAAAAAAGTTAAATAACTGAAACATAAGAAAATAAGTTTAAAGAAACTATACCTGTAAAAGTGATGCTCGATTGATGAATGCTTCAGCCTGTACTGGATCATCATCTTCCAAATATAATCTAGCAATTTTAAGATAAGTCTCGAGTTTGTAATCAACAGTATACTGCCTGAAATGATATTGACTGCATAAAATAAATTTCGTTAATATTACATGTTCAAACAACAAGACTTGACATGTATATATTACTTTTGCCCTGTTTCCAATGGTATGCCAACTAAAACATTTGCAGCTTCTCGCCAGTTCTGATTACGTTCATAAATATCAGCTAAATGTTGTCTTATGCTAGCTACTTGTTCTTCAAAGGAAATCACACGTGGTTGAACCTATGTAAACAACATATTATTTTAATTAAAGTACATTTTAATATATAAATTATGTTTATTTTTACTTCACAATCAATCAAAGAGATTTATTTACCTTGTCCAGTGTATAATGTGAAACAGCTTTTGATATCTCATCAGGCAAAAATAGTAAACGGCTACTGACATCAGTCAACACTTGCCTCGAAATAACCAAGCTCACGTTTTCGTTCACAACTATAATAAAAATTTATCTAAACAGGTTATTTCTTTTTGAACGTGGAATACATGCATTGCCAAAATATGATACATCAATTATATGCATTGTGATGTTAAACTATGATCAGTATTCTAATTGTGTCCTGTGTGTATTAAAAATAATTACATTATTATTACATGAATACTTTAACGTTATATTACCTTAAGATAAAACAATATTAAATTGTTATTATAGATAAATTTTGCAATCATAATATTCTTTCATGTGTCTATTTTTTAAACTCCAGTCAGTTGAAAATAAATTTCGTTAAATGTTTGTTACAAATTTTGTTAACAAAAAGGAACCAAAAATTATTTATACAAATTTTATATTCAATAATATCAGCAAATTGGTGGCAGATATTCAACAAAGGATGCTTTCTATTTATGCCCAATTTCTTCACCTCTAGATAACTTTATCCAAGAGATATCTCCCAGAATAGAGAAATCTTCTGGATAAGATTATCCGCAATTTATCTGGAAGTGAAGAAATTGGACATTAATGACATAAATCGACAAACATCGTTCTATCCAAAGGTTATGATGTACAAAAAAATTTAAACAATATAATGTAAGCTGTCTAAAATTGATTCACTTACTGCTTAAGTTTTTTGTGTATCATAACCTTTAGCATTCTATGAATAACAAAGAATAAAAGCACTGTTGAGAAATTGTTGACAAAAACCATATAAAGCGTGCTACAATTTGACAGCAAATTGATAGTAAGAATCGACTTTGCTTAGCTTTGTCAACAATGTGCTCTCACATTACATCTGCAAATTTTGTCGACAAGACAAAATTTATATGGACATGGTTGATGCCAATTTGCTGAAATTTTTGATCGAATTTGCCAACAATCTGTTGGCAAATTGCTAATATTTGACTGGCTGGGGACCATTCTGCAGGCTCTGTAATCCTCTTATAACCTGTCTGCGGTGTGTTAAATCCCGCAGATGTTTCGGAATATATTATAGATTCCGCTTGACGTTTCTTTTGTGTCCGCGAGTGCGAAGTGCCAGCGGGATAAAAATAACGTACTTGCTTCGATGAATGTCTTCAGAGCATCTACTAGCTCCTCGCCGGAAGACAACAATATCGAGTCCAGGGTTGCGCGGTATCTAAACAGAAAACAGTTCGCCGTGAGTATACAATTGGATTGGAGTTTGGTTACACTCGATGCACGTACTTCTCGGCTTGGTCTTTGTGGGAACCGCCGGAATGCGCCAAATTACTGAGTTGTTGACGCACGTAAGCCACCGTCACCACCATCTTCTCTCGCGATAATTTCACTTGCCACTGCTGCTGCTGCCGACTTCTTGCGTAGAGAAAGGCCCCGAGAGATGCTCGCGGAGTACGGACATGCTCGCGTTTCAGGCTTTCGTTTATCAGCGCCACAATATATCAAGGTACTACTTAGTTGACGATATTTTTAAGGGATAACGTGCTAAATGCTTTTGGTTTCGTTCTGTACTACACTGACTACACATCCATAAAGTAGATATATACCGATATCATATATCTATTGAACAATCTTTTGAACAAAAAAGCATCAAGTATAAATTACATAATAATTAATCATGGGAAGAATTTGTCTATAAAATATTCCTAATACGGAAAACCAATTGTTGCTCATATTTATTCATTATTATTATATTTAACAATTATATATTATGCGTTTTAAATATATGTATATTCGGAATTTAATAAGAAATTTTTATAAATAATCGGTTCTTTAATTTTTTAATTATTATTATTAAACATACAATATTACATTAAACGTCATTAAACATATGAAGAATATGCGTAAGAAATATACATGTATTTTCGACAACTCATCTGTACATCGATTTTTGCATAAATTGTCTGAAGAGGGCTCAATCTGACAACCGAAACTTGTAATATTATAATTTCTTAGTTTATATACATTTATATCGATGGTATCTGACATTTCATGTTTCTAATTAATTATATGTTTTATTATTTATATTTGAAACTAGACGTTTTATATGAATTTATTTTTATTTTTATTTGATTGTTGACTCTTACTTTGCCCTTTATTACTGTTATTTTATTTTCATAAGAAGAATCTTATATCTATAATAAATGTAAACATATTATATTATTTTAATATAAAATAATATATATTTTAAAAACTTTTAAAGCAAATTATTTTAAAAGTAATTGAAAACAAAAAATATTTTAAAATCCTAAAAATATTTTACACACAATTTTGCATTATCTGTTTTTCCTATAAGGATAACAATTATAAAAGTAATGCTAATAAGCAAGCAAAATAACAATAAAAATTATAAATTTAATATATTTTCGTAATATTATTTAATTTTTTTATTGGCAAGATCTTATTATTCATTGGCATACAGAATGGTCTGTCTAATCTGTAACAATTTTCACGTATGGTAGCATAATTAATTATTAAATCATTTAATTATTAATAATCAATGTTAAAACAATAATTTAATAAGACAGATATAAGGCTCATCTCAAGAATGTAAATTCTATTGAAAGCTATTCGAGTCGCGCTAGGTGTCTTGTGTAAATTTATTATACAGGGTGTCCCAGAATAATCGCCAAATATTTCGTGTGCTGATAGTAGAGTAGACTAAACTGAGTCGAAAAGTCCTTTATCACTTTACAATTTTCGCAATAGTTAATAAGATATTAATTACTAAATATCGCCTAATATTGGTTTTTATTAATTTTTTACTATCAACTTTACAGAAAAACAGCAAGTGACAAAAATTGTTAATTTTCTTCTCATAGAATGAGAATTTTTTCAGAATTGTTTAGTATCGCATTTTTTCATGTTGATAAAAATAGTTGCCAATAAGAAAATGCAGTACTAAAAAATTGATTAAAAATTCTGAAAAAATGTTTAGAGCGTCATTCTGGGACACCCAGTATATAAGCAAATAAGCAAGTAAATAAATTCTTCTAATAAAAGCTCATAAATAATATAAATATATAATAATAATTAATAAGGAGCATACAAGCCCCTGCACTGGGTGTCAATGTGAAACGTTAGTCATTTAAAACGTTGATTTAATAATAATACATATATAATAATTATATTTGTTAGACGTTTTGACCTTATATTAGGTCATCAATAACAAATATAATTATTATTAAATCGACGTTTTAAACAACTAACATTTCACATTGACACCCAGTGCAGGCTTATATGCTCCTTATTAATTATTATTGAGTAAATAAATTCATCATTGGTGAGTGAGATTCAGTCAGTCGCGGTTGCATGGCATCTTGAATCGTGATAGTTATACGTGATCCTGATATATCTTTTAACTTTAGGAAAATTTCTAATTAATTACTTGGAAAACATATACAAAGAAATTAAGATTTTTATATTAGTAGATCTCTTTAATACTTTTCCATGTTTTCCGTAATTAGAAATATTTGTATATCAGGATGACGTATAATTATTACGATTCAAGACCATGCAATTATCGAGTGATTAGTCTCACTCACCTGTGATAAATTAATTTCCTCGTTTATGTGTTTATATATACCTAATACATTTGCATAGGGTACTCAGTACGTCTCGGCTAGCTCTCTATTTTTCGAATAAAAACAATATTTTTATTATAGTGGAGCGTCTATTCTGCATCTTTGCACGTTTTGTGTTCCAGGCACACATCGTAACAACACTTTTCCTCTTCGTCGCATTCATGATCGCTGTCGCAATGTTTAGGCGGCTTGTACCACTTGTAAGTCCTGGGACAGTGGGCTCTTAAGGGCGGACAATGCTTTTTTGGTTTCCACTTCGTCATGAACTCGTGCCAAGAATGTTCAATGTGCGGGTCAGTGGCGATGCCAAGCCAAAGCCAGGGTGAAAAAAACGAATGCCAATTGTGTTCCGACTCCGACTCCGACTCACTTTTCCCATTTGGGCAGCAGTAATATCGATGATTGCCCATTTTGCACCAATATTTGCAGGATCTCAAGTAGGCTTTTGTTAGAATGACGAATAATAATAGGAGGCACAACGAGTTTCCACGCATGTCGAAGTGTTTGTGAAAACGATGAAAATACGTCGCTTATGTGATTGTCAATTATTTTATCTGGCCTCGCTCTTAATTTTGGCTTAAAAAATAAACAATAATAAGTGAAAAATAATCAACAAGTGAAAAAAAGTATTCAGTCAAAGCTGATGTGTATGTGTGTGTGTGGTACTTAATTAAAAATAATTTCAATATTTCTACGTGAACTGGAAATTATAAGATTCACGCAAAAATATTATTAAGCATTAACACCCGCTTTGACCGAATATAATCTTCTTTGTTTATTTGTGTTAAAAAAAGAATATCAATTATTTAAAACATAATAATAATAATAAATATGGGCAAAAATATGTTTTTCATATTAGGAATATTTCATAAATAAATGAGATTAATTAAATATAAGTAATACTCAATGCTTTTTTATTCAGAAATGTACGATGATAGCATTGAAAATTGCAATAATTACGGATTAAAGCTTTTTTTATTATACAAGACACGAACGATTTTGTATTTTATCGCAAGAAACTTTAGAAATGTTTTCAGATTTTTCTCCCAAGATTTGCACTTACTTGTGACGGTCCAAGATTCAAGGTTTGTACTTATTCGACGGTCTACGATTCAACCGACAGCTCCTCGTTTAGCGTATCTTATACGTGAGGAAGGAACATGCCCCTACCTGGCGAAAAGGATTGTAAATCTGCAGCACCTCTAATATGCGTCCATCATCGACAATGAGCAAAGCACGTTTGTTCGTGCTTGATTTCACATGTCAGTTTTGTAAAGTAAGTCTCGCTTCCGATGACTACTCGATGGAAAAACATTGAGAAATGTCAGCAACAAAGGACACGTCATATTCGCATTAGAACGGCCAGGGCCGAATCTACAAAGCGAACAAAGCGATTTTATTAGCATTTTCAGCCCGACCGGATTTGCACCAACTTGGGTTGGATTAATGATGTTTCGTGCTCTCCTATTGACAGTGATAGAGCATGTAACGTCAATCAATATGTAGAGCATTAATCCAACTCAGGTGCAAATTCGGTCGGGTCGAAAAAGTTATAAGTTTTAACTGTAATGTCACGATAACTAAATAATAACTTCTTAAAACTTAGTCATTTATTTATACCTCCAATTCTTTGTACTCCCTCGCCATCGGATCGATTGAAAGCAGATCAGAGATAAACCAGAATTCCCATATTTTTTACATTTATTTGATGAACGAAATTTTAAGTATTTTGCGCGTTTAACGATAATTAAGAGTAAATTAGACACGATCCTCCGTGTTTTGTTTATCAATGGACCGTGTAAATGCGACCCTGAAAATAACAAGGTTGTACGAGCACGTAAATTTTTCTTCCGCGATATTTCCTGGAGAAGCCGCCTGTGGGACGTCAACATAATCACCGACCCCGATCTACTTCATGCTAAGGAATCACATTGTTTTCCCGACATTCGCTCGTTACGAAGTGACACAAGATAAAAACGTGCCTGCCGCGAAATGGGGTGACGGTACTCCATGCGGGATTCAAAGCCCGGCGAGATTTATGTCAATTTCTCAATTCCTAACGCTGCGGATACGTGAGTATAGTGAGCAGTGAGAAGGAACACCTTCTTATCCGTTTTTCTTTAGTGTAACTTTAATCTCGATTCAACCTACTCTTTCTGCTTCTAAGAATCAGAAAAAGATGTCAGCCCAATTCCATAAATGTAAGATTAACTTTGATCTCGGTTTAACTTACTATTTATCTTTTTCTAATTATTATAATTAGAAATATAAAAAAGCCGCAGTAAGATTCCTTATAATAAAATAACATAAATAGTAATTATATATATAAATCAGGGCAATTTTAGGAATACCATGCTGTAATAGGTGCGCTTAAATTACTGAACCAAACCTCAAGTTTACTTGAATATATTTTCATCGTGAGCACTTTGATTAATTGTCAACGTTGTCATGCTGAAGAAGGCTAGACTTTAGCCGAAACGTACATGTACATACACACAGATAAAAATGTATTCAAGTAGATTGAGATTAGGTCCAGTAATTTAAGCGCACCTATTACAGCGCGGTATTCCTAATTGCCCTGATTTAATTACTATTATTTATGTTATTTTATTATACTTAGATTTTTTAGAATTAGAAAATCTAATTCTAGAAAATCTAATTATAACAATTAGAAAAAGATAAATAGTAAGTTAAACCGAGATTAAAGTTAATCTTTTTTTTAAATT